TATACGCTGGGGTGTAGTTCCGGTGGGGACAGGTCTGTCACTGTATAACACATTTAGAGTATGGGAGGGGGGATAAGTCTCACTGTTTAATGACAGGGTAAGTATTGGTAGGAACATGTCTGTGACAGAGTGTCTCTGCAGTGCAGTGTTGGTTCATTGACTTTTATTTTCTACTCTTTTGCCTTGGTCTCGAGGCTGAATCTGTGTGCTGCGTTGGCTAGGTGTGTCTCACTCTTCAAGAACTACAATCACCCAACATTCAGACAATGTGTGCTTGTTGAAGGAATGTGCATTGGTCTAAAGGCAATCCATCAAACTGGAATCCAACACTGGTATAGATGGGTGTAGCAGCATAGCAGACCTCTTACTCACATTCACTTGTAACATCTCGGTCACAGTTATTTCTGTAAGAGGCTCATGCAGGATAGTTGCCACATCTCAGTGTCAACAGGCTAGCATTTGAACTCAATTCTTGAAAAAAAAATTAAGATCATACACTGCAAATTTTTAGTTTTTGTCAGCTGCCAGCAATCAGCTGAACTTTACCAGAACTCCACCTGTGCTTGCACTCCTTGGGCACAACTTTTCTTTGTGAAATTATCACTAATTTTATAACACTTTTAAAAAGGATTTCCTTACTTTCTGACCACTCTCTGATCGTCTATTTTGTGCGTGGCTGTTGGTTTACTTTTTATTTGGTGTCTGAGTGTGAATAGGGGATCACAGGATTATTTCCCTCGTGATATATGCTACCTGTTTTAGTGAGGTGTATCCTTATTGGGTGTGGGGGGAGGGGATGCTGTGAGGTTTTGCAGTGAGTACTAAGCTAAAAAAATTGTTGGAGCAGAATGGTTGAATATGTCCTGGGAATACTGTGTCATTCTGCTTTCTCTAGCATAACCTATTTCCTCATCTGGGTTTCTTGCCTCCCGTTTCCTTAACTCCTCTGCTGTCCTTCTGTCCTTTCCCCTACCTTTCCACGATTTTCATTCCCACCTGTCACCGAGTCCTTTCTTTGCTCAGGTTTCAGCTGTGTACTTCCACTTCCCACTCCATGATCCCAAAAATGTGCACAATCTGCTGCAAGAGATCCCTAGCAATAAAAGATACTGCTCTATATTCTCCATTTTAATGGTCTTGAATTTTTTACGGAGTGGTGTATGGGAAAAGGGCCTGCAGCCAAGGAATGAAGTTGGTTGTAATACCTTGTAGCATTTCTTTTTACTTCTAGTGAAAATTCTGATTCGAGGTGACAGAAACACAGGAAAGACTACACTTTGGCACAGACTACAGGGCAAGAAGTTTGTGGAGCAGTACATTCCAACACAGGAGATCCAGGTCACCTGCATTCACTGGAGCTACAAGAGTAAGTCTCAAGAGCAACAATTTTTATATTTTGAAAAAATGATAAAACTTGCTGTCAGTGTTGGAAATACTCAGCAGAGTGCTGTGGGGAGCATGGTTAGTAATACATTTCAGCTGTGAATCATCTTCTGAGAGTTCTGGGTTTGAATTATTTGTGTTTGCAGGGCAGTGAAATTGGAGACAGGGAGGCAGAATAAACTCATGCAGTGATGACGCGGCTTTCTCAGGTGCTGATGGAGATCAAACAGCAGTTTCTGATGTCAGTGTCAGTGGTGTTATGTACAAGAGAGCCTCTTCTCCGCCTTAGTGTGATCAAATGTTGCTGAGCACAGTGCATCAGTGTGAACACTGAGGAAATTTCCTTGTCCCCTCTGCCCGTCAAACACTTCGAGGACAAGACAGCACAAAGTTAGATGCAGATTAAAGCCTCCTCTATGCTGACCAAACAGACTTAGAAATTTACAAAACAGGAGTAGGCCACTCGGTCCTTCAAGCCTGCTCCACCATTCTACATGATCGTGACTGATCATCCAACTCAGTGCCCAGTTCCTGCTATCTCCCCACACTCTTTGATCCCTTTAGCTCCAAGACCTATATCCAACTCCTTCCTGAAAATATACATTGTTTAGACCTCAACCGCTTTCTGTGGCTGAAAGTTCCACATGCTCGACACTGAGTAAATTTTTCCTCATCTTTGTCCTAAATGGCCTACCTGTAACCTTAAACTGTGACCCTTGGTTTTGGAATCCCCAGTCATTGGGAACATCCTTCTTGCACTTATCCTGACTAGACCTGTTGAATTTTACAAGCTTCTATGAAATCTCTCCTCATGCTTCTAAATTCCAGTGAACATAACCCTAAGTGATACAGTCGCTTTCCGTATATCAGTCATGCCATTCCATAATCAGTTTGGTAAACCTTTGCTGCACTCCCTCAATTGCCAGAGCATCCTGTCTCCAGACAAGGAGATTCAAAACCGCACGCGCTACATCATGTGTGGTCTTACCAAGGCCCTGTACATTTGCAGCAAGATATTCCTGATCCTGTGTCGAGTCTTGTCGCTGTGAAGGCCAATGTGACCATTTGGAGTCAGTCCTACAGCACAGAGACAGGCCCAGACTGAGCCATCCACGCTAACTCCATTTCCCTGCACTTGGCCCATATCCTTCTAAACCTTTCCTATCTGTGTGTTCATGCAAATTCCTTTTAAGTGTTGTTAATGTACCTGCCTCAACTGCTGGCAGCTCATTCCATATGCGTACCACCCTTGATGTAAAAAAATGTTGCCCCTCACTTTCCTGTGTATTCTTTCCCTTCGCACCTTAAACTGATGCCCTCTAGTCCTTGATTCCCCAACTCTGGGGGAAAAAGACTGTGTGCATTCAACTTGTCCATGTCTTTCATGATCTTACACACTTCAATAAGATCCCCCTCAGTCTCCTGTGCTCTAAAGTAAAAAGTCCTAGCTTGTCCAACCTTTCTCTGTACCTCAATCCCTTGAGTGCTGGCAACATCCTTGTAAATTTCTTCTGCATTCTTTCTAGTTACATCCTTCCTATAGCAAGGTGACCAAAACTAAACACCATATTCCAAGTGCGGCCTCACTAACGTCCTGTACAACTACAACGTAACTTCCCAACTTCTGTACTCAGCGCCCTAACTGATGAAGGCCAGTGTGCCAAAGGCCACCTTCACTGCCCTGTCTACCTGTGACTCCACTTTGCACCTGAACTCCAAGGCCCTTTCTTCCACTACTCTCCTTAAGGCCCTACCATTCACCATAAAACTCCTACTCTGATTTGACTTTCCAAAGTGCAACACCTCACACTTATCCAAATTAAACTCCATTTGCCGTTTCTCAGCCCACTTCCCCAGCTGATCAAGATCCTGCTGCAATTTCTGATAACCTTCCTCACTGTCCATGATACCACCTATTTTAGTGTCATCCACAAACTTACTAATCATGCCTGTTCATTCTCATCCAAATCATTGATATAGATAACAAACAGCAATGGGCCCAGCATCATCCCTGAGGCACACCACTAGTCACAGGCCTCCAGTCCGACAAGCATCCTTCCACTGTTACCCTCTGCTTCCTATCATCAAGCCAATTGTGTATCTAATTTGCCAGCTCTCCCTAGATTCCATGCGATCTAACCTTCCAGAGCAGCCTGCCATGTGGAATATTATCAAAGGCCTTACCTTAATCCATATTGACTACGTATAGTGCCCTGCCCTCCTCAACCTTCCTGGTCACTTCATCAAAGAACTCTAACAATTTGTGAGGCATGATCTCCCAAGCACAAAGCCATGCTGATTACTTCACTGCCAGCTGCACTTGCAAGCGTGCAAGTGACTGCTGTGCAAGGACACCCAGGTCTCATTGCACATTCCCCTCTCTCAATTTATAGTCATTCATGTGATGATCCACCTTCCTGTTTTCGCTCCCAAAGCAGATAACTTCACACTTATCCGTATTATACTGTATCTTCCATACATTTGTACACACTCAGCTTGTCCGCATCACACTGAAGCATCTCTACTTCCTCCGCACAGTTCACCCTCCCACTCAACTTAGTGTCATCTGTAAATTTGGAGATATTACATTTAGTTCCCTTGCCTAAATCTATATGTGTATGTATATACTGATCCCTGAAGTACCCCACTATTCAGAGCATAACCCATTTATTGCTACTTTTTTTGTTTCCTGTCTGCCAGCCAGTTTTCTACCTATCTCAGTATACTGCCTGTGTGCTTTAATTTTTTACATTAATCTCTTATGTGGGACTTTGTTGAAAGCCTTAAAGTCCAAATAAACCACTTCCACTGGCTCCCTCCTTAGCAGCTCCACGAGTTACATCGTTGAAGAATTCCAGTAGATTTTTCAAGTATGATTTCCTTTTCCTCAATCCTTGCGGACTCTATTCAATCCTGCCACTGTTTTCCAAGTGCTCTGCTATTAATTTTTTTTACAATAAACACTAACATTTCTCCACTACAGTGGTCGGGCTGATTGTTCTTTAATTCCTTGTTTTGTCTGCTCCTCAGCTTTTAAATTAGCTCCAAAACCAGTAATTGCTGGAGACACTCAGTAAGTCTGCCAGCAAATCTAGTGTCATTTGCCAGCATTTGGCCCATATCCCTCTAAATCCTTCCTATTCATGTATGAATCCAGATGCCTTTTAAAATATTGTAATTGTACCAACCTCCACCACCTTTAAAAGTGTGAAGTGATTCATTTTGGAAGGTTGAATTTGAATGCAGAATACAGGGTTAATGGCAGGATTCTCGGCACTGTGGAGGAACAGAGGAATCTTGGGGTCCACGTCCATAGATCCCTCAAAGTTGCGACCCAAGTTGATAGGGTTGTAAAGAAGGCATATGGTGCGTTGGCTTTCGTTGCTAGGGGAATTAAGTTTAAGAGCTGTGAGGTTATGCTGCAGCTGTATAAAACAATGGTTAGACCACAATTGGAATATTGTGTTCAGTTCTGGTCACCTCATTACAGGAAAGATGTGGAAGCTTTCGAGAGGGTGCAGAGGATATTTGCCTGGACTGGAGGACAGGTCTTATGAGGAAAGGTTGAGGTAGCTAGGGCTTTTTTCATTGGAGCAAAGAAGGATGAGAGGTTACTTGATAGAGGCTTACAAGATGATGAGAGGCTTGGTAGAGTGGATAGTCAGAGACCTTTTCCCAGGGCGGAAATGACTATTACGAGGGGGCATAATTTTAAGGTGATTGGAGGAAGATATAGGGGCAATATCAGAGGTAGGTTCTTCACACAGAGAGTGGTGGGCGTGTGGAATGCGCTACGGGCAGTGGTGGTGGAGGAGTCAGATACTTCAGAGACTTTTAAACGACTCTTGGATAGGCACATGGAGGATAGTAAAATGTAGGGTATGCAGGGTACATTGACCTTAGTAGAATAATAGGCCGGCACAACATTGTGGGCTGAAGAGCCTGTGCTGTGCTGTACTGTACTGTTCTGTGTTCTATATTTGGAGAGAAAGCAGAGTTAACATTTCAATCGCAGTGACACTTTTTTTTAGAGCTGCTTCTGAAGAAATGTCACTGAACTTCGAAAAGTTAAGTCTGCTTTTTCTCCACAGATGCTACCAGACCTCCTGCATTTCTCCAGCTGTTTCTGACCTTTTTTCAGGTCTTCACCACCGGCAATCTTTGTTATATTTTAGGGTTACATTAGCTACCCTTCAGTATTCCAGCGTGTTATAGAATCTTGAAAGATGACAATTACTGTTTCTAGGGCTACTTCCTTAAGTACTCTGGGATGTTGATCGTCAAACCTGGGGATTTATCAGCCTTCAATCCCATTAATTTCCACAACACCATTTCCCTACTAACTGATTTCCTTCATTTCCTCCCTCTTAGTGAACCCTGTGTTTCCCAACATTTCTGGAATGTTATTTGTGAACACAACCAAAATGTCTATTTAGTCGCTCAGCCATTTTTTTCCCCATTATAAATTCCCCTGTTTTTGGATGTAAGGGACCTACTTTTGTCTTCACAATTTTTTTCTTCACATACCTATAGAAACTTTCACAGCTTTTGTTTCCTGCAAGCTTGCCCTTGTACTCCATTTTCCCTTTTTTTTTAAATCAATCCCGTTGCCCTCCTTTGCTGAATTCTAAACTGCTCTCACACCCAGGGCAGGTGCAGAATGGGGTTAGAGTAAAGATCCTAATTCTTGTGAATCAAAGGGTAGTGACTGAAAGGTGTACAAGCTGTGACTAGCTCACTACGCCTTTCAAATTATCCGTTGCTTGGCTCCTAGTACATAACCTCTGTTGTTAAATATGCAATTACAGGAAATGATTAGTCATGAAAAATCATTCTAAATGTTTTGCCTTGCCGACTTCGCTTTTAATAAAATAGTTCATTTTCATTAGTCTAATGCAAACACAGTTCATTTCAATTGGACTAGTGTTGTTCAGATCCTTTACAACTCCTGCTTAGAGATTGATCAGCCAAATGCTGCATAGGCAGGCAATTTCTGGAAGTAATAATTTGAGTAAGCAGTCTTCAGTGCCAGATATCACTGTTTAATTGCTGACAGTATTGCATTTAATGGAAATGAACTGACAGAACCCAGTGCCAATCTTGTCTCACTGACCGTCAGTGCCAGCAGTCCTGTGTCATCTGTTAAATGCTGAGTTGCTTCAAAACTCAGCATTTTTTCCCCCAAGTGTTATTCTTCCTCCTGTTCTGAAACTTTAAAGATTGGATTGCACTCCCCAATTAAATGACCATGTATTTAATTTATGTTTGAATTGGTTAAATGTCATAAGACAGTCACTCCTGCCTCAGGGCCCTGAACTGGTTGAGGGGGCATCAGCATCCCAATCTGAAAAGCAATCCTGCTTGCAAAAGAAATGAACAGTGTGTAAAATTCAGCTGGACTGTTAATTTTGAGAGCAATGTTACTGTGCAGTTGCTGAGCCAATGAATGCTGATTGTTGTGCAGGATTACTTTAGTACAGCATTCCATCCACTGCTACCAATGTTTACCCTCTGAGCAAATCACTGCACTCACTTAAACTGATGCCCACAACCAGAGCCACCTTTTGAGCTTTCGGGTAAAAATGTCAATTCTGTTAGCCTGTCAGCACCCATTGTACTACCATGGCTTGAGCTTCAGTTCTCACCCTCGTCCTCATGAAGGACTGAGGACCAGCTCCGTTCCCATCCAGTTGATGTTTGCCTCTTCCTATTTAGAAATTTAACCTTGTTTATTCTTTGTTTTTCTCCATTACCTGTTTAAACTTTAAATAATTCTTAACTCGGTTTTCTTGAGCAAACACTTGGTCCATTTGCCACACCTCATCCAGCTATGCCTCCTCCCTATTTGGACCACAAATATACTGGTTTAGGATGTGCTCCCAAGCAGTTAAGAAATTTATCCCCTTCCTTCCTGTCACTGTAACATTATTCCAGTATTTTTTGAGTTATTAAAGACCATGATATCTCCACTTTGTAGTTCTTGCACATTCCTATGATTTCTACGCTGATTTGCTCCTCTATCATCTGATTTGGAGGACCACAGGATATCCTCATTTATGTCTTTTTATTTCTCAGGTCTACCTAAGTGGATTCTATCCTTAACTCCAAGACCTTGTCTCTTTCCAAACTATAATAACTTCCCTAATCTGTGCAGCTAACCCATTTCCCTTTTTGTTCCTTTTCTCTTCTGAACGCTTTGTATCCTTGAATATTAACTGTTCCTTATTGTTCAGTAGTTTGCTGTTCCGTTGTATTCTGCTTCTAGCTCATCAATGTTATTCTCACACTTTATGCATTTACAGATATGTGCTGTAAACCTGTCCTTGTAAACAACTGGTGTTACCTTGATCTGCTTCTATTTAATATGGGATGACTACCTTCTTTAGTGTAATCCAATACAGACACATTTTATACATCTTAATCCTCTTTTGTTTCTACAGGCTGATGCCTGATTGCTGCCAACCTAATCTAGACCAGGGGTTCCTTCACTGTAGCTCCTGACACTCAATGGAGATCTGAACTCCAAGGCAGCAATGGTAGCCATGTCTCTAAGATTGAATTTCAGTAACTGCAAAGATCCTTTAATAGTCAGTGTTGTCAATCTGTTATAGAGTAATAGACTTATGCAGCACAGAAGCAGGCTGTTCGGTCCAACTTGTCCACGCCTACCAGATATCCTAATCTGACCTAGTCCCATTTGCCAGCATTCTTATTGTTAGACATGGCTTAATCGCTGTGAGGCTTGATTGCTGCTGTAATCGTAGGCTTTTCTTAAAAATAAAAAAGTGGCTCCTAAGCTGTCTACGAGGTGAACCCACTTTAGTCCCAGTCTTGATGAGGTGCAACTCCATTTTAAATAGGAGTCTCCTGTCCCAATGTCTCAATCCCCGAAGGCCTGCCTCCTGCATCAAGCTTTAAGCTACAACTTATGCTCCCTATCTTCTGATTTCTACTCTGGCTAGGGTGTGGCACTGGGGGCAATCCATAGACTTCTACCTATAAGGTCCCACTCTTGACCTCTTCCCTAGCTTAGCTCCTGAATAGCTGCCCCAGCACCTCAATACCTGCCTGCTATATGTCATTGACACTGACATACTGTAATGTCTTGCTCATACCCCGCTTCAGAATATTCTACATCCTCTCAGTGACATTCTTTAACCTGACAGCAGGGAATTCGTACACCATGCAGGACTCAGAATGGTTACAGATGATGTTCTCATGTTCTAACTGTGCAATCTCCTATAATGACTCAACTTCTTCACTTTGTTGCTACTTTGTTCAGTCCCATGTCCATTGGTGTGATGTTCTAGACTGAAGGACTGAACTCCTTCAAGGTGTTGTCACTCCATGTTCCTACTTCCTTGATTACCAGCATACCATCCTGACCTGTCAGTGTTTGTGTGACCACCTCCAGTAACATGACCCAGGGAACACTCATCCTCCCTAATGCTGAGCAATGACTTTGGTTGCTCCTTAAGTTCAGTAATCCTGAGCTGAAACTCAAGCAGCTGGAGACACTTCCTTCACAAGTGATTATAGGCACTGAAGTGTCCTGAAATTCACTTTGTGTGGGGAAGTTGCAAGCAGTGGATCTCCGATTCATGATCTGAAGTGTTGTTCTTCCAGTAGGTGTAAAGTTCTCCGCTGACACTCAGCTCACTGCCTTTTTAAATCACTGCCTGGTGTTTCAAGCAATTTTAATGGAACTGAAATTTCCATTTGTTTCTCTGCTATTTGCAAATAATTTTGTGTTATTTTGCAGCAACAGATGACATTGTGAAAGTGGAGGTGTGGGATATAGTGGATAAAGGTAGGTGCTGTTCTCAACTCTTAACTGTTAAAGATCTATTTTGTTTACCTCCAAAGTATAGATTTTTGATGTGTGTAATTATCCTTTCAAGGTCATTTGGATGGAGCAAAATGTCACAGTGGACCTCTGTGGAGTTGTGTATCTCATTACTTCTGCCTCATATTATTTCCATGTCCAATCCTTCTTTGTATCTCAACTTGACAATTCCTGTGGTAAAATCTTGTTTGCACATTACTGTTTGTGTTCGTGACCAGGATGAAATGTAGAATATTGAAGCACAAAGGCGGCCCTTTGGCTCATTGTGTCTGTGCAGATTTTATTATTTAATTTTGTCCCATGCTGATGCTCTTTCTTCATATCCCTGCACATTGTTTCCTTTGGTACTTACTATTCCATAACTCCATCATTCTTTCAGGCTGTGCATTCCATATCAAAGCAACTTGCCATGTAAAAATACTGCTCATCGTGCCCCCTCTGTTTTGTTATTCAGTTTACTTCAATCTGGCTCCTTCGTTAACCAACTCTGATTCTTTCTTCACTCTATCAAAACCCCTCATTATTTTGAGCACCTCTGTTAAATCTGCTGTTGACATTTGGATGGGGGTTTTGATGGATTTTTCTGACCTTATGATGGAGGGAAGGTCATTGATGAAGTAACTGAAGATGGTTGGGCCTAGGACATTCCCCTGAGGATCTTTTTCGGTGATGTCCTGGAGCTGAGATGACTGACTTCCAGCATCCACAGCCATCTACTCCTGTGCAATGGTATAATTTCAAGCAGTGGCGAGTTTTCCTCCTGATTCCCATTGACTCAAGATTCTTGAGGACTTCCTGATGCCACGCTCAATCAAATACAGCCTTGATGTCCCCTCATGTCTGGAATTCGACTGTTTTGTCCATGTTTGGACCAAAGTCGCAATTTTTAAAAAATTCACTTGAGGGATATGTGCATCGCTGGCAAGGAGAAGGTGATAGTGAGCTAGAGGTCTGGAAGTCAGTTGAGGTCAGGAGTTTAGTGGCCCTTGTGGAATTCAAACTAAGCATCAGTTCTCTGAATTCCCTCCCTAATAGCGTCTGTGTCTACCCACAGCACATGGTCTACAGTGGTTCAAGAAGGCAGTGGGAAATGACCTTCTCGAGGGCAGCTAGGGATGGGCAAAAAATTCTAGTCCTGCCAGTGGCACGCACATCCCATCAGAGAATTTTTTTAAATGAGCAGGTTATTGTTAAGCACCCACACCCCCAACTTTTTCAGATTTTAACTTTAGAAATGATACTCAATAATTGTGTAGTTATATTAAGTTGATTAACAAACTAAACTAATTAATTGTGCTACCCTTACCTTCCCGCTGCTAGCTTAAACTGCTGCCCAAGGGCAAGAATCGTAACACTCACCATTCAATAATTTAGATAATACAGTGTGGAGCTGGAGGAACACAGCAGGCCAGGCAGCATCAGAGGAGCAGGAAAGCTGGCATTTTGGGTCTGGACCCTTCTTCAGAAATAATTTACCTGCTTACCTCGTTAATGCTGGTGGACATCAAATCTCAGCTCTTGCTGTGTCTCGTTTCTTTTCTCTCGTCTTAGGAAAGATCAGGACAACACCTCTTCCCTGATTGATTCTTGAAATTTTCCAACTCACTGAATTCAGCTTGCCAATTAAATGCACTCTGTATTACTTTATTGAGATGGCCTTTGAACTATTCACTAGAGCTGTTCTGGAATCTCAGGAGTTCCAGAAGATGTAAGCCTAGGATGCTAGTTGGCAGGTTGAGGGGATTTGTTGTCACTTAGTGTCATCAACTTCTCTAGAATTGCTTCAATTTTATTAATTTCTTTAAGTTCCTCTTCTTGCTTGGTCTGAGGTTGGCCATTATTTCTGTATTTCTTTTTATGAAGTTAAATGCACAGTTTGATTTTGCCTTTTATAATTTTACATAGTACCTATGTTATCCTGCTAACCCCTTCCTATTTGCTATTCCTGCAGGAAAGTTTGCAGCCTGTAAAGTTGTTGCTCATCTGTACTTGTATTCATAGAGTCCCTACAGTGTGGAAGTGAGCCATTTGGTCCATCGAGTCCATACCAACACTCCAAAGAGTATCTGATCCAGACCTACCCCCTACTCTATCCCTGTAACCCTACATTTCCCGTGGCTAATCCACGTAACCTGCATATCTTTAGATGGTGGGAAGAAACCGGAGCACCTGGAAGAAACCCATGCAGACACTGGGACAATGTGCAGACTCCGCACAGACAGTTGCTATTGCTGTGTCCTGATCACTTTCTCCCCCTTTGCTTGAATTCTAAAATCCTCCCATTCCTCAGGCTTGATCGACACCAGAGGTTAAAAGTTGCTTAGACTGAGTCCAGGCACGTACTCTTCTAGTCATGGTTTTATTCCAACTTTTTCATCTCAAAATTCCAACACGTGATTCCTTGTTTTCCCCATGTATATGCCCAGTTCTTACCCAATCATCCCTCAGCTAACGTACAACTATCAGTTGTTCCCTGGTTCCAGTTGGTCTCAGATATCCTTGCCGGACTAGATGATAAGGAGGCTTACTATGCTTTAATAAAGCAAGATTTCTTTGACCTAATGCTGTCTTTAACTTCTCCGGTCAGCACAAATTGGGTTTAAATTTTCTGTGGGATTTTTGTGCCTTAAAGAAATGTGCATTGTAAATAGTAAGGGATGGTAAAGTCACTATAGGCTTACCAGACCATAGGGTTGCTTTCTCATTAGATGGCTGGTGATGGTTTAACCTGAGAGTCAGCATGCTTCAGGTGAGGGGTGAGGTTGAGAAGGAGAGTCCTTCATAGTAACCTCGGCTGATGTGGGAATTGAGTCCATGCTGTTGGTGTTATTCTACATCGCAAACCAATGTCCGGCTAACTGAACTAACAAGCCCTGATTATCAGTCATGCAATTGTTATTTAAATGCTTTGTAGCTTGTCTGCCTACCTATCTTTTAATGTAGTTTCCTAATCAAAACTGGTATGAAAAGCAAATTATAGTCACTCTTCCCAAGAGACGACTTCACTGCAATTTTATCAAATAACCCATTAGATAATACTCGATCCAAAGTAACATATTCTTAAGATTGGGAACTCGGCATTCTAATCCAGAAAACTGTCTTGCAGCTGTTTCTGGACTTGGCCCCTGTTCTACTACTGCAAATTTAATTTGCTGAGTTTGAATGAGGATTAAAGTCTGCCGTGATAATCTTTGGCATTTATTTCCTGATGTATACTCTGTTCTAGACTACACCTACTGTCAGGAGGACTCCAAACAACTCCTCAGACTGTTTTGTACCTTTACTATACTTCTGCTCCACACAAATTGATTCAACACCTTGAATTCTTCAACTAAGATGCCTCTCCTACTGTTTTTACCCAGTCGTATATCATTTGGACTATGCCTTCACCCTGTACATTTGTCACATCTCTAAAAGTTGCACAGAGGAAATCCGTTCTAACGTGTTTGAATACACTGTTAATTTGCTTACAGTATAGCATTTCATGGCTGTCAAAAGCAGTAAATCTTTATTTAAATCTTCGTTTAGACAGTTAAAAACTAGTTTTTTTTTTATTAACTTGGCTCAACTATAACATTGCTTCAGTTCTTGGACCTCGTTCTCTGTTACATCCACAGTATGTCCTGCATTGTTTCGTTTCCAACTTTAGTCATTGTGAAATTATGTACCTGAACTGGCTATTAGATCATACCTATTAATATAAATCTGTGCTATTAATTTCTTAGTTAAAATTCTGTCAAAATGCGAAAGAATTCATAACTTTAATGTTTTCTAATTCTCTGCAACATCCACTTAGTGACTAAGCATAAAGCATGTTGAGATGAAATCTTAACTATGCTGTATCTTGTTAGGTGAAACCCCATTAAGTACACTGATCTGTATATAAGTTTATTATCTTTTTTCATTTCTTGGTCCCTTTGTCATTATTTTCTACTTTTGGTTCTCTTCAGGTCAGACAGTTCTCCTCCCTGGTACATCAGGTGAGAGCTGGTCTGACTCAAGCTGTTTCTATTTGATGACTGGATGTGTGCTTCCTTGTGTTTGCAAGTGAGAGAGAACACATAGTGAAATTAACATTGTCTGCTGTTGCTGGCTAAAGTGCATTGTATTGTACTAAATAATGAACCTTGATTGTGCTGGGGTGTACAGTTTAATATGTTACTTTTTATTCCCCCCTCAGTAGGCACTGCCTTTCGTTGGGGGAGGGTGGGGTCTGGTAGGCACTGCCTTCCACTGGTGTTCTATCTTGCAGGATTTCCAGTTTCTGATGCCTTGCAAGTGAATGGTGTGTCGGCAGAGGGAAGGAAGCCTTGAAGTAATCAAAGTTCATCAGTTCAGTAGCATTTTAATCTAGTCACTGCATTATTTCCGAACTTTACAATCAATTAGTGAGAATAGATGTATTGCTGCTTTTCATGAATTGTTTTGATCTCCAGTATTTAGTATCCGGTATGCAGTTATCCAAATATACAATTTGATGTTGAAGCATAAACAAAGAGACTGGCAGAATAAAGTTCCCGGATTCAAAGGCTATGCCTTATTTTAGTGATGCCTTCCCAGATATGCTGCTGTGGTGTCTGAGTGCATGGTGAGGAAGTTGTATCTCATTGATTGGAGGAAGATGTTTCTAAGTGAAATTGGTAAAGGTGCGATTGGAGGTGTCCTGTGGGATCATGCAGCACTGCCAATGTTGGAAGCGCTTCAGTCTCCTAATGAGGGCGGGAAAAGTAAGTACAGCGGCACATCCTGATGCGTTCCCTCTCTGCTTAACAAACCTATTGTGATCTATCAATTTACCATGCAGGCGCACCCACCCCTCTGTTTTTCCACTTCCTCACATCCCTATCTATCTTTGCATCGCTGACACTCACTCTAACCCTTACGCAATGTCCCCGCTGTTCTTCAAAGTCGACAAACTCACTTGATTCATCAGGTGAGAATATGCCATTGTTGTCATTCAGATC